AGGGCATATGACCAAGTCCCAAATTATGATAAGGATCTACCGGAATGGTCAAAACTTTTATCCGGGTTCGCTTGCTCAAAATATTGACCGAAGTCAACTCAATTGAGTTTTTAAAGCTCTAGTTCACAATTTATTCTATTTTTCACATAAAAACCTTCCGAAAAATTATACGGATTGCGCACGCAAGTCGAGAAATTATTGATACCGCCTTTAAAGGTCTTAAAATACCGAAATGATTATTTAATTTAAAGATGACATTTTGGGTCATCACAGAGAATCCAGTGGGTTGTGCATGAACTGCGACACTTTATTCACGACAAAAGCGATATTCGGGCGCGAGAAAGTGAGATATTGCAGTGCACCAACTGTACTTCTGTATAAGGTATCATCATGAAATGGGTTTCCTTTAGTAGCAGACAACCGACATGGTGCAGTAGCTGGTGTGGAAATGGCAGTACAAGAGTCCATTTGGGTTCGGCGGAACAGATCATTGACATACTTGCGCTGAGACAAGTGCAAACCAGAAGAATCCCATGTCGCCTCGATTCCCAGAAAATAAGATAGTCGCCCAAGATCACGTATAACAAATTATGATTGCAAGCGGCCTATAAGAGAGCTGATGAGAGTGGGACTAGTGCCTAGCACAAGGAGGTCATCAACATAGACTAAGCAAAACAACATCTCTTTCCCAGAGGAGAAGTAGAAGAGGGAACAATCAAACTTAGATCCAGAAAAGCCATATGAAAGTAAAGCATCTGTCAAACATTTGTTCCACATACAAGGGCTTGTTTAAGCCCATATAGAGATCGTTTAAGCATGCAGACATGGTTAGGATAATTTGGATCCACAAACCCAAGGGGTTGAGACATATACACTACCTCGTCTAAGTGACCATGCAGAAATGCACTGGAGATGTCAAGTTGCGTAATGTGCCAATTATTAGTGACACCCAAGGATAAGAGAAGGTGGATGGTGGCAGGTTTTACTACTGGGCTAAAGGTGTCAACATAATCAATACTAGGACGTTGATGATATCCCTTCGCAACAAGCCTGGCCTTATAACGGTCCACAGAACCATCAGGCTTTGTTTTGGTCTTGAAAATCCACTTACACCCAATGACATTTTGAGATTCTGATGGAGGAACGAGTTGCCAAGTACCATTCTGAAGAAGTGCATTATACTCGTCATGCATTGCACGATGCCAGTGAGCACATTTTGCAGCTTCAGAGTAGCATGTTGGATCTGTAACCTCATTAGTCTTGGCAGCAAAGGATGTAGGTTGCTTAGGTTTTAAAGAGCCCATTTGAGACCTAGTAACCATGGTATGCGTTTTAGACTGACCTTGGCTAGAAGAAGACAGACCGCGAAGATCTTTAGACAAAGGTCCAAGTTTCTGTAAGGCAAATATCAATGACGATTTATTTATCTCATCAGGTGAAGCAGCTGATATTGATGTGTGTAACTGTAAAGCCTGCTCCGTTGAGGAAGAAGAAGGTCCACATGAGGCATCACATGGAGCTTCTAAAGGGTGCTGGTCGTGGATCGAGGATGGCACCTGGACAATGATAGGATCAGTTGTATGTGTTGATGTAGTGGGCACCGTAGCATCATCCTTAGCAAATGGAAACACATGTTCATCAAAAATAATATGACGTGAGACATAAAACTTTCCATAAGATGGATCAAAACACTTGTAACCTTTATGAATCTTACTATAGCCTAAGAAAATGCATGATTTAGAATGAGGTGAAAGCTTACTTTTGTATATGGACGAAGCCAAGGAAAGCATAAGCATCCAAAAGTGCGCAAAAAGGAATAATTAGGATTCATGCTAAATAAAACTTTAAAGGGAGATTTGTGATTCAGACGGGGAGTGGGAAGTCTATTGATAGTGTAAACAGCAATTTCAAAAGCATTAGTCCAAAAATTTTCTGGAACATTAGCATGTGTTAACAATGCACGTCCCGTCTCAACAATATGACGATGTTTACGTTCAGCACAACCATTCTACTCTGAGGTGTAGGGACATGAAGAGCATTGTGTAATACCATTCTCGCGTAAATAAGTATTTAAGGCTTGAAATCCCTTCCCCCCCCCCCCCCC